ATTGTGTTTATGATTCATTCATTTCATAATGTTTTGGTTTCATATTTAGAAAAAAAAAAACATTTTAAATTTGATAATTTTGGTTTTTTGCATCTAAAGAAAGTAGTTTTATTTTTTCGGCAGGCAAGAACGGCAGCGACGAGGGGCACGACCCGTTGAACTGGGAAACGAGATTGAGATTCATGATCGGAGTAGCAAAAGGATTAGCTCACATACACACACAACATAAGCTCGCACATGGCAACATCAAATCATCTAATGTCTTCTTGAATTCCCAAGGATATGGATGTATATCGGAAACCGGTTTAGCTGTGTTAACCAACCCGGTAACTAACCAGATTATGAGGAGAGATCCATCAGCTAGACCGGTACTTCATTACCGTGCCCCAGAAGCAACCGATACGAGGAGATTGACGCCGGAATCAGACGTATACGGTTTCGGAATCTTGTTGCTAGAGACTCTGACTGGAAAATCGAGTATGGATAATGAAAAGGAAGCGGATAGTTTGGTTTCATGGGTGAATTTTGTTGTGAAACACGAATGGACAGGTGAAGTGTTTGATTTGGAGCTTATCAAGACTCCTAACGTTGAAGCAAAGTTGCTTCAGATGTTGAACTTAGGGCTCGATTGTGCGGAAAGGGCTCCAGCAAAGAGACTGGAGATGGTGAAAGTGGCTGAGACTTTGGAAAAGATTGAGAGTGACTAGTTACCAAATTGTAGAAATTTTGATTTTATCGGTTTTGGCATTTATGATTTAAATAAATGCATCATCATCAGTGGCAAGTGTATTTCATGTATCCATTTTCTTAGCTCCATTTCTTTACCTTTAATACATAAGCTTTTTAAAAATTAAATCTGTATTTAACATTTCGATGAAAATTAGGAGGAGTTACTCGATCAATTTAAAATGAATTCCATAACATATACTGCATATGAGATTTTAATCTAACCTTGATACAATTAAGTTATGGATCTTAACCATAAATGAAAACTATAACTAGAGACATAGTGGATATCATGAAGCATTTTTTAGATCTTTAACTCGCACACATTCTCAGATGTAAATCTGGATTATATATACACAAGAACGACACTATATTACTAACCATTACTTTATAAGCTGATAACATATCATTACGCACTCATATGATGACATGACTTATAGATTCTAAAATTATATCAACTTGAAGTACTCAAAACAAAAATGAAACGACTACATATATTTTCTTTTGTTAGTTCTACTTTTTTTTTTTTTGGGTTGCAAATTGCAATAATATTGTTTTTGAATAAAAAAAGGAGAATTTGCCAAAAATACAACAAAAAACTTATAATTTAAAAAGTAATCCAAAACCTCAAATCCAATGGTTTACAATTTGCCACATACTCTATTTTTCATAACTTTTTAGTTATTATTTTTTTTGGTTATTCACCAAAAAGTCCCAGTTGCAATAATTGCGACAATATTATATGTGTCCAAGCTGGGAACGCTCGTTAACAAGCTGGAAAACAGCCTAACCTCTCTTTTGGGCCAGCCAAAATTTGTGAGTACGAGATGACTTGAACTATAATTCTAACGTAATTGAAATTATAGTAGCTTGATGCTTGATTCACATTCACAAGTTTCAAATTTCATTTCCTAAAACAGATCATTGTGAAAAAATAAGCAACAATAATTGTGGGGACAAAAATGAGTTCTTCCGAGAGATACGGGTCGACCATAAAGTACAAAATAATTGTTCAATAAATTGCCAAAAGAAGCTCTAATAATTCTCATTACCTCTTCTACCGCTCTGCCTAGTTTTTCCTTTATTTTCTCCTTTCCTTCATTTTCCTCGTTTCCTTTGTTCTTCCCTCTCTAAATCTTTTTCTTCCAAAATTAAGGAATTAAGAGAGGGAAGAACATTAACATCAAATATTAAAATTCTAAAGATATAACTTGCGATTTATCAAAGTATATAGAAGAGGGAAAGGGAGAAAATAAAGCAATTTTTTTTTTGGAATGTCGGTCTCGAGGGTTTTCTTCGGAGTTATAACATTTGTGTTGATAGTGTTCTCCATTTTGATTCCACTGGCACAGGCTCAATCTGCGGCTCCTGCGCCAGCCCCAACAAGCGATGGTAAGTTCATATATTCTCTAATAAATTAATTGTTAATTTGAACCAATATTAGACATAAATGAACACGACTAAGAATCGAAAACAGACTCAAATATGGCATTATGCAACTTTCTCAAAACATGTAGGTTCACAGTCACAGAAGTATCGTACTGTATTAACCTATGCCTTTACTCGTAAGAGAAAAAAATGAGTAGTTATCTCTTAATTAATGAATATGCAGCTACACTCTTTCTTTTATGCTTTAGATTTTTAACATTGTTCTGAATTTTAAAATAAAAATTAGATAACCATGAAACTGTAACCTTATAATAACAAATTTTCAATTTCTCCCCTCTGAATATCGTAATTACTATATTTCTTTTCGATTATTAATTTTTGGTACAAAAATAATTGCAGGAACAACGATAGACCAAGGCATAGCATATGTCCTTATGTTGGTGGCTTTGGTCCTCACATACCTCATCCATTGATCTTTTTGTCACTTTAATTTTGGTCTC